CTCCGGGGGGGGGCCTCACTCAGCCTCCTGGAGCCCCCCACTCACGTCCACAGGCCACTCATGACTCTGCCTCCAAAGCAGCTGGGCCTTCGTTCTCCTTGTGTGTTAACATGTCACCAGCTGCCAGGAGACCAGCTGGACCCAGGGTGGCCACCCATCAGGGTGGGTCACCCCACCTCACCCTGCACCCCATCAGGGCGCCAGGGCAAACACTCAACTGCCAGGGTCCCCGAGACCAGGAGCAGCCTTCAGCCCATCACGTCCTGGGACCACTTCCTCTGGGGGGGCCCTGGGCTGGGCTCTCCATCCAGGTTTAGGAACCCCCTGGGGGCAGACAGGACAGGCCCCACGCCCGGACCCCCATGACTCACGAGGTTCCAGCCCGCACGGCTCAGCTCAGCCCCCTCATCTTCCCGACCACCAAGGGGCGCAGCCACCCCCATTTTCCAGGTACAAAAGCTGAGGCTTAGGAAAGCTACGCTATTCACCAAAGCCCCAGAACTGGTGGGGGCAGCATGGGGGCCTAGATGTGAGCGGCACCCCTGCTAACAAACCACTGGTCGGTGCAGACCAGAGCCACACCAGAGCCCGAGCCAGGGCACCATGCCTGGGGCGCAAAGGCCCGCGTGCCCCCCCAGACACAGCCCCCTCACCCGCAGGGCCCGCTGTGCTGGCCCCTGCAGCCTGCCAGGATTTCCCCAGGCCCCGAGCGCTGCCAAGGCCCTGCCCCCACCTGCAGTGCAGCCCGACCACCTTCCAGAACCAGACTGCCCACGTGGCACACCGCCTGCCCAGCGCAAAGGCCTCTCACAGGCCGAGGTGCGCCCTTCAGACTTTGGGGTGTAGCACGTGCGAAGACACCAAGGAGCAAGACAGCTCACCGTGTGTCAGCCCTGCCTCTGTCCACCAGCCCAAGGCTCAGAAATGCTCCTGGGCAGGGGGCTGGGCTCCCGACCTGTCCGTTAGCCCCGGGCAGGCCAGGTGGCCCAGGGAAGTGACCGAGAGCGCCCGGTTCACCTGCCAGTCTCTGGGTCAGAAGGTGAAGGGGCGGAGACGGGGTGCAGCTCTCCCAAAAGACAGATGAGAAGAGCGCAGAGGACCAGTGCCAGTTTCAGGATCCTAAACTTCACAGGAAAAGGCGGGGGAAAAACATGTTGTGTGATGATATCTTACCTGGCTGGAGGGCAGGGGATGGGCCCACAGCCAGCACCAGACCTGGTCAGGAGGCTGGGGGGAACCAGGGACAGGGGCTGCTGGGAGGACCCGGAGTTGCCAGTGTGGGTGAGGTACCGGTCCGGGCCTCCTCGGATCCGGGCCACTCGGCAGGAGGTGCATTTGAGAGTAATGCATGTGGATCATCCCGAAACCATCCCCCATCCCCCGCCAGTGGAAAAACTGTCTTCCAAGAAACCAGTCCCTGGTGTGAAAAAGGTTGGGAACCGCTGGGTTGGAGCACCGACCCGATATGCAAGGTTGCAAGTTCAATTCCCAGTCGCGGAATATGCAGTAATCAACCAATGGATGCATAAAAAAGTGGAACAAGAAATCAGCGTTTCTTTTAAATTAATAAGTAAAAGTTTTTTTGAAGTTATTCCCATTTCATGGTGTGGAAAAAAGGCGTAAAGCCAAATTTATGTGAACTTTTTAAAAATCCAGGATCTGAAACAACCAACCCTAGTCATACTTCTGATATGAGAGAAAGTGACTATGGCCTGTTAAGTGTGACGGTAAGCCAGGGTGAAGAGTGCGCCAGGCTTCAAACGCGGCACTGAAGTCCTGCGGGAGGTGGCGAGCCCGGGGACTATCCTTGGAGGGCTCCGAGAAGAGCTCGGGGGACCGAGGCAAGGTGGGGGCGGGAAAGCCGGGCAGTAGCCCAACCTGCCGAGGGATGCAAGGGGGCTGGACTCGGCCCCTGCCTGGCGAGTTTCACATCAGCTTACAGCGGAAACTATTTTTAAAAATCAAGAGTTACATTTTCTAAGGTTCACCAAAGCAATTCAAGAAACAAAAATGTATTTTGTCAGACTGGCAGTCACAGGAGCGCCGCGGCAACTCCTGTTAGAAAGAATAAACGGGGCGTGGCCTGGCTGGCTGGGCGTGGCCCACAGACTGAAAGGTCGAAGGTTCGGTCCCCAGATGGGGCACGTGCAATACGCAGCAGATCCAAGTTTCCTTCTCACAGGGGGTTTCTCTCTCTCTTTTTTCTCCCTCCCTTCCCCCCTCTCTGAAATCAATAAAAGACAAGGGAAAAAAAAAGAATAAACCCCTGGGCATTGAGAAAACTCTTGACACCCAAGGTAGAAATAACAAAAAAATTTTGCTTCTTTAGGTTTTAGGAGCTAAAATTTTCACATCTTTTTCTTATCCTCTTATTTAAATCCTTCTTCAAGATTTGGAACAGATCCAAGGGGCTTTGCACAACCACCCCACCTCATCTGGGGGGCAGTGCACACACACTGTGAGTGGGGGGCTGGGTCACACGCCCACCAAGATAAGGCAGGGTGGGGGACAGTAGGGTGCGGTGGTGCCAGAGCCCACGGCCCCTCCAGACTGCCCTCCGACAAACCTCGGGGGTCCCAGGGGCTGCTCTGCAGCAACCCCGGCAGGGGCCCCGCAGTTAGGCTCAGAAAACGCACCCCGCACAGGAGGAATCTGCTCAGGCAGTTAAGTGGGTTTAAAGCCTAACCTACCGTCCACCTGCGAAGGCTCAGATTCGCCGGAGAATCCAAACCCCACCTCTTTCGAACGGTTCAAAGCACCTGAGCACAGTAACACACTGAGCACCCGAGCCCAGACGTTAACTCACACTCGAGGCAGCGCTTGTGAAGGACACCACACAGGCCTCCTGTGAGATGCTTTCCACAAGTTAACTTACTCGGTGAGTTGCTTAGTTAGCGTACCACAATGAGAAGCAGCGACACCATCTGAAGTTCTGTCCAACGCAGCAGATGACTGTCCCCTCCTTCTCCTGAATTAGGAAATGCATTTAGAAGTTTCAATGAAGAGACTCTTCCAAAAATTCCTCTGAAACAAAATGAGGATTCTCGGCGTGTAGAGTCGGCCTGCCCAGCCTCACGGCGGTGCGATCCGGGTGCACCCACGCGGCCTGAAGGTAGGGTTCGCCCCAGCCCTGCCATCAGCTGAGGGCCGCCCGCCAGACCCACCGATTTTCTCAGCCGGAGCCGTTCCATGCCAGGTGAGCTTGTGCCCACTGTGCCACGACCCAGGGACGCCAACAGGGCAAGGGTCTCCCCAAAGCAGTCAGCAACCAGAGCGAGCCCGCAGACTGGGAGGGCCAACGCAATTTTTAAAAGGAGAAAGAAAGGACACATCAGGGGCAGGGCACCCGGTCAGGTAAGCCCTGCCTCTGGAGCTCAGGTTTCAATGGTGCCTGTGGGTGCCCACACTACTGCTGGGTCTGCAAGTGACAGGTACTTCTCACTGTGGGTCAAGGTCAGAAAGACAGACCGCCCCTTCTGTAAGGAGAGTATACAGAGTCAGCCGGGGAGCAGACAGTTGTCCCCATGCCCACTGGCCCTACGACCTTGGCAAGTTCTCAACCTGTCCGGCTGCTGTTGTCTACCTTTAAAACGAACTCCACTGACTTAGCGAGCTGTCCAATGGATTCGAGGATGTCAATCAAACACAACACAAAAGCTTGACCTTCCTCAAGGTTCTTCACTTTTTCCAGGCCTTCAACTTTTAAACTGAGTTTCTGGAAAAAATGGATGTGTGGAGGCCAACACTTGCTGGGCACTTCACGGGAAGGAGAGGGGAGAGCCTCGTGCAAGGGGGAGGGGCTGCCGACAGAGCATCAGAAGCCAAATCTGCCCCCAAGACTGTGACACCAGAGACCAGGACCCTTGCCCACAAGGCAGGAGTCATCTCCCAGGTGGAGGGTTAAATAAAGCCATTCTGTAATCGCTGATTTCCCTTAAAAGTTGGTCAGGCTGAGCCCCGAAGAAGCTTTCCAAGTGACACCAAAAAAAAAAAAAAGGCACTCAGAAGTCCCAGGAGCAGACAGAGCTGTTTGTGAGCAGAGGCAGCAGCGGGGGACCCGGCCAGGAGCCGGAGTGTGTCAGGAGGGGCTTCCGGGCTCCGGATTTGGAGGTCTGGGGCAGGTGGGGTCCGGACCGGGCAGACGGCGGCGGAGGAGGGTCCGGGGCACGAAAGCACCAGCGCAGGGCCAGGACCACCTAGCGCGGAGCCGGGCGGGGCCCTGCAGGCGGACAAAGGGGACAGGCAGTGCCCTGTGCAGGCGGCAGGGCCAGCGGGAAATTTAGGAGCCACGTGCCTGCCGGGGGGCGGCGAAAACGCTCCCCAACACTAGACCACTTTCTCGGCCCAGCAAGTCGACCGCCCTCCTAACTGTGCATTTAAGGGGGGGGGGGCGCTGCTTTTAGCACTTGAAGTTTTTTAGAACTTTTCCAAAGGCAGAGAGGCTGACTGGCGAGGAGGGGCGCCGCGCGCCGCGCAGCCGACCTCCTCACCTCTCCCCGTCCCTGTGGAAGGCAATTAGCACCGGAACAGGGGGCGGCGGGTCTGGACTGAGAACGGGCCGCAGGCCGTCTCGGGGTTCGGGGCGCCGCCGCCCGGGCCTCCGGGGCGCAGCCCTCGTGCCCCAGGCGCCGGCCAGCACCGGGCCTCCGCAGCCTGACCTTCCGAGAGGGGCCCCGAAGCGCCGGCGCCGAGCAAAACGAAACCGAGCGCGCTCCGGGCCGCGCCGCCGCTCCCGGACCCGGGCCTGCGCCTCCGCGCCCGCGGCCCGCGGCCCCGAGCCCGCCCGCCCGGCGGCGGCGCGGCGGCCCAGACGCGGCCTCGGGCCTACACGCGCGGGGCCCGGCGGCGCGGGAGGCGCAGGCCGCGCGGGGCGCCCCGGAGACTCGGCCGAGGAGGCCCGGCCGCGGCCGCCGCCCCGCCCCGCTCCCCGGCCCCGGCCCCACCGCCCCCGGCCCGCGCCCGCCAACCGCCCCCCGCCCGGCGCCGCAGGGAGGACTCACCGGGGCCGGCTCCCGAGTACATGGTGGCGCCGCCAAGGGGCTCCGGGGCCGAGGGGCGGCCGCGCGCGCGCCACGGGCCCCGACGCCGCGAGCCGCGAGGGAGCCGCCGGCCGCACGATCCGCCCCGGCGCGGCCGCCTGGCCAAACAGGTTTACCCGACGCGGCCCGGGCGGCGGGCGGCGGGCGGCGGGCGGAGGCGGCGGCGGCGGCGGCGGCGGGCGGGGCGAGCGGGCGGGGCGGGGCTTGTAGGGCGGGGCGCGGGGAGAGGGCGGGGCTGCGGAGGAGAGGGCGGGGCTGCGGGGAGAGGGCGGGGCTGCGGGGCCCCAGGGCGGCCGGGCGCGCGCTCGTCTGGGGGCTGCTGTGGGGGCCCGCGGGGTGGGCAGGGATCCAGGGCGGGGCCGGGCTGGGGGGCCGCGGGCGGGGGCGCTCCTCGCAGCCACTAAGATGTGTGACGTGGCCTCCGCGGGGCGGGGCGGGACCAGCACCGCGTCACTGCCGGAGACCCGAGAGGAAGACGAGACAGCCCGACCCCCGTCTCCCCACCGCCTCCCGTGTGCGTGGGAAGCATGGTCTGGCTGCTCCGGGGTGAGGGGGGCACAGGACCCTCCCCACCGTCACCCCGCCTCCGGCTGGTGCGCTCAGTCACGAAGCTGGCCTGGGGCTGGACTCCCTGTTGGCGCCCCAGCATCTCAGCCTGTTTTTTTTTTTTAAGTTATTAACGAAACCTGAAGGTCGGGAAGCTTGCTTCCGATTCAGAATGTGAACTTGAGCGCGTCGGGGCCCTCGCACGCGACCACAACGGCCAATGACCCCCAGGCCAGGCACTCAGGGGCCTCCCAGGGGCCGCCACGCTTTCCGGCCCCGCCTGGGCCGGAAGGGCCTCCGCCTAAGCAAACCCTCCATCCCTCACGCTCCCCACCTTGGTCCAGAGGTTTTCTGGAGCTGGCTCCGGGGCAGCTACCCCGCCAGCAAGGGCCTCCTTTGTCCCTTAATGGGGGGCGATTAGAAGCCGAAGGGGAAACCAGGCCAAGGTGCCCACCACCCTGCAACATCCTCCCCTGCTGGCGCCTCCGCCCCACAAATGTATAATATCTGCGTGTGGGCTGCACGGAGATGCGTGTTCCGGGGCCCAAGCCTGATGCCAGGGTGAACTCCAGTCCTGCCTACAGGGGGCTCCCCACTCAGTAGGTGTGTTGCAACCCTCGGGGGTGTCCCAGAACAAGTGCAGGGAAATCAGCGGTTCCTCCAGGCAGACACTGAAAAGGACCCCCAACTCCACCAAATCACTGCCGGGGGCCCGCATCTGCGGCCCATCCTGCCTCTCAGACCCCCACCCCCGGCCTTGCTCAGGTGGACCAGGTGACCTGGGTGGCCCAGGGAGCCCTTGAAGCCGCTCTCCCAGTTCCTGGCTCTCTGCCTGACAGTCGTCTCCTCTGAACAAAGATCTGACATTGGGCCCGCTTTGCTCAAAGCCCTTCCCTGGGCCCACCTCGCTCTGTGTGGGGTCCAGGTGCCCCACCGAGTGCCCAGTGCCCCTCAGGGGCCGCCGGCTTGTTGTGCCCTGCCAGGGTCTTCCGCTTCACCACCTTCGGGCTCCTTCTCAGTGTCACCATGAGAGCGGGGCTGTGCACATCCATTCTGGGGACCAGTGTTTGGTGGTGGGGTCCTAACAGGACAACGGGCAGCTTCCAGGGAACATTATCCAGGACAGGACTGGGCCCCTGCCCCCCTGCAGAAATAGCTCAGGAGGGCCACCCATGTTCCCAAAGCAGGACCAGCTGGACTCAAGCCCATCAGCTCCGCGTGGCCTAGCAGTGCCGTTGGGTGGGAGAAGCCACCAGCCAACTGCGTGGTTCCATTTATTGACCAAAGCTGGGCTCAGGGCTGCACCATTAACAGCCAAAAGCTAGAGAGAGACAACACATAAGGAGGGCACCATGAGCAGCAGAGTGGTGGGTACTGCTGGGGGGGGGGGGGCGGGTTCTGCTGCAACCAGAGGGGCCCTGGGGCTGGGCCGGGCAGTCAGTCCCACTTCAGCTGTCGAGTCCTTTTCTGTGTCTTCACCGTATTTCACCACTGAGGTATTCTCCTGTCCTAGCCATGCCCGTTGTCACCGCTGTCCACACCAGCCATTTCCAACGCAGCACTGCAAGAACCCCTAAAACATGCAATACCTCTGTTTAGTGACCTCTTTTCCCCTGCACTGGCAAATGAAAAAATCTGATTTTTTCATTTGTGAAAAAATGTTGTTGTAGCCACCTGAGCCACAACACCCAACACAATAGCCATGTGATTGATGTGAATGAATCAAAATCATACCTTTTTTTCATATCAGCAAAAGCTCTATTTCCGGTGTTCTGCAGACTTTTAGGGATCAGCTTATGTGCTGTGACATGAAGAGAGTGAAAGTCGCTGCCCTCCGCCAGGCACGGTGCTGACACCGAAATCCCCAAATGACTCAACTTCGTAACCTGCAGCTACTGCTGGGACCTCCCGCCTCCCACACGCCGCTCGGGTCTTTTCGCAGGGGGCCTACCTCTGAGCACACATGCTGGTTAAGTTTGTAGCCAGGGTTCTTTTGCAGGCCAGTCAATATAGTGTCGCTTCCTGCTGAGGCCGATAGGCAAGTGCGACCCCTGCTGGTGGAGGGGCGCTGGCCCAGGCTCTGGGTGGGGTCCTCCCGCTGCCTGGGCTTGCCCCCTGCCCCACCTCCTCGGGCCGCACCCTCCAAGCCGTGCGGAAGACCCGCCCCCTTCCTCTGGGGCATGACTGCAAACCGACTTCCTCCTCCGGACCTGCTTTTCCTCCCACGCCCCCAGTGGGGCCAACACTTGTTCCCCGAAGACAAGCCCAGACGCCCTGCCTGCCCCTCATCTGCTACCGGTGGTCCACGCAATCCGGCGGCCGCCAGCTCCTCCAGGCTCACGCCCAGTGCTAGGTGCTGATCAAACAGGGCGTACTCAGGGGTCCTCTGGTGCCCGGTCGCACCCCGCCCCCCCACACACACACACACCATTCACTGCTCCGTACCTGGGGGTCTCTGTGCTGATACTGCAGGGTCCTCTGCGCTGGGCAGCCCCAGCCCCAGCCCCAGCCCCAGCAGTGCAGACCAGCAACCACACTCCACAACGCCCTCCTGTGGTCACCACGCCCACACACTCTCCACTCAGAGGCCTGTAGCGCTCTCTGGACCAGAATACGCCACTGCCCTGGCTGGTGTACCTCAATGGATTGAGCGCGGGCCTAGGAACCAAAGGACCGTGGTTTGGTTCCCTTTCAGGGCACGTGCCTGGCCAGTGGCCAGTTCCCAGTGGGGGACACACGAGAAACAACCCTACATTGATATTTCTCTCCTTCTCTCCTCCCCTTCCCATCAATTACTGTTGTTCAAACACCATGTCTTGCACACAGTAAGGAGGGGTGCCGAGGTCACAAACACACTGGTAAGACTGGAGTTAAATGCCACTAGACTGACCGACTACAGGCCTTCTCAGAGCCTTGAACCAAGTGTTAAGAATGGGGTTCCTACAAAGAGGAGGGAGGGGAGCGGAGCCTTGGGAGCCTGCCTGACAACAGAACCCTTTCATTGTCATGGGCCCCTCCGGGTCCCAGGAGCTCTGGGAGACCCCGAGTGGTGGGACTCTTCCACGGCCCTGTCCAACTAGAACACTCAGACCGTATTCAGACAGTGGCTGCCTGTCTCAGCTAAGGACACCAGGGTGTGCAGGACTGGGGAAGATTCTGACGCACACCCGAGCCAGTCTGACCCTCGGACCCAGTACGCCACGGGGGTCACTTTGCCTGAGCGGGCACATCACTGTGCCGTTTCATGCACCCAGCAGAGGCTCCAGAGAGGGTCCCCAGGGTGTCAGCAATCAGTGTCCCCTCCCTGCTCAGCCTGGGGGCATGGGCACCTTGATGCCACAGACCGCGTCGCCCCTGGACACAGGAGTGCACAGGCTTGTCTGAGACACATCCAGGGACACAATGGCCCCTGCGTGAGGACAGAGCAGCCAAGGTGTCCCTCCACAGACACACTGAAAACGGGCAGCAGACTGAGGGGCCAAACTCCAAACAGTAGGGGGAAGTCTTTGGGACCGGGCTGGGCAGGTAGCCCTCGGGCTTGACAGCAGAGGCCAGTGCGTGAGTGAGAAGGGAGATCCCTCGCCTCACCAGCAGGGGCGCTGGTGCTCTGGGAAAAGCCCGCGAGAGGGTCAAAGGGCAGCTCAGCAGGGAGGAGGCATCTGCAGGCCACATGTAGGGCAGAGAACCCTTATCCAGGGCCCCGAAAGAACCCTCGGAGTTCAACAGTGAGAAAGCACACTGCTCCCAGAACCCAGGCAAAAGACCTGGACACACCTGTCGCCAAAGGGGAGATCCAGGACTAAGGGGCCCCTGGAAACCCAGACAGGGAAATGCAAACCCCACACAGACAGCCACAAACCTGCCGGAAGGGCTCACGTGGTCAGGGGTGGTGTGTGCCAAATGCCGGAAGATTGGCTTACATTGCGTTACAAGCTCCAGTGCATATCCCCAAAGGTTTTGAGGGCAAATGTGGACAGTGGGACAGACACCAGGGCTGTGTGGTCCCTTATTGGCCTGATGCAGGCCCGATGCAGCACGGGGGTGGGGTGGGGGGGTGGCCTCCAACCTTGCGTTGGGCCCTCCTTTTGAGAAGAGGGTTGTCAGGCATTGCCTGAGAAAGCAGAGCCAAGCAGGCTCTGGGAGAGCCCGCACTTGCCCGCCTGTGTGAGAACAGCGGACCTTGTGCTCCACGGATGCCGAGCTCCAGCATGGGACTCACTCAGGCCACTGGGATGGGGCACGGTTCCAGCTTGGCCACCTCCCCACAGCCCCCCAAGTCACCGGGAGGAGCCCCGTCCTGCTGCTGCGGAGGTGGCGCTGGAGCCACCTGGCCACTGGCCCGCAGGTGTGCGCAGCAAGACCTGACTGAGCTCAACTGCCAGGGGCTTTTCAAAAAGTCAGAACTGACGACATGACTCTAAAGTGTATACGTAAGTGCTCTAAAAAATGGAGCCCCTCGAACACGGAGCCGGAGCTGATGCCCTGGAGGGACCACCCTGACCACTCACGGCCCAACCCCGGGGCGCTGGAACGGGGGGTTGGAACAACCACGGGCAGCATGGTGCCCCAAAGAGCCGTCTGCAAGGACGAGAGTGCGGGGGTGCCACCCGAGAGTCACACACACAGCGCGGACTTCCCATCCCTGCGCTGCCCTGTCTGCACCATGGTGATGCCGTCTTTCTGTGGACGTCGCTGTCCCTTCCCATCCCATCAACGCCCCTGGCCCCCGTCTCCTCCTCGGAACACTATCTCGGCTTCTGCCTGATTGTTCCTAATAGCTCTTCTTTTTTTTTTAATCTTTTTTTTTTTGAGATTTTATTTGTTTATCTTTAGAGGGCAAGGGAAGGAGAGAGGGAGAGAAACATCAATGTATGGTTGCCTTCATGGGTTCCCTGCTGGGAACTGGCCTGCAGGGAACTGGTCTGCAACCCGGGCATGTGCCCTGACTGGGAATGGAACCGCGGATATCTGGTTTGCAAGCGTGCGCTCAATCCACTGAGCTACACCAGCCAGGGCTAATAGCTCTTCTTTTTAAAAAAACAAAACTCACATAAATGCTAGTTGCCTTTTAATTTACTTTATTTGTGATGCCTTTCTATTTTTAGGTTAACGTTGCGAGTGAGTTAGAAAAGCCAAGAAGAAAGTACCAAGACTCGGCCTGAGGCGGCGGCCACAGAGGCAGCGGAGCTCGGATGCAAAGGCCCTTTCCTGAGACCGACGTCAGACGCCTCTCATTCGGAGCCACCAGGTTGCAGCCAGAGCACATTGGGGACACGGAAATGTCAATTCATCTTCACCTGTGCCGATATGTCGTCACTCTCTACATACGCCCTCGTCAAGCTCTTCCTGCAGCTTACTTAGTTCAGGCAGTTGTGGGGACAGCCAAGGCGTGTGCGCCTGGCAGACCACCTGGGTCGAGGCCCTGGGCCGGCAGACGTGCGTGCTGTGCCGGAAGGCGGCTCTCCATTGTGCCCAAGTGCCCACACGCACTTCCGGGGCTCCTAGGGCACCCGCCCCAAGAACGAGACCCGGGAGCGCCTGTGTGCTATGTGGGAGATTACTGAAAGCAGTTCAGATTAAACTGACAAAGACCCGACATAACGAATGTGTCTACTGTGCAGCTACAAGAGCAAGAGAACAGACCGAGGTGCCGTTCCACAGGCCCCGGGCCCAGCGGCCACACCCGCGGTGCCAGGCAAGCCCGTGGCAAGGGGCGCAGCAGCAGCAGCTTCCGGTGCTGGCTGTCAGGACGACGGATGCTTTTGGCTTTGAGGTTAATTAAATGAGGACCGAACAACTGATGGGTGGAAAATCAAACAATTCCATTCACTTTGTTCCAGAGGACTGGCTTTTCTCGGGGACTGAGAGAAAGGCGCCCCCGCTCCAGTGGCTCACACGTTGCACGCCCCTTTCTGCTGTTGGTGTGGCTCACGCTGGGTACCTGATAAGATGAAACAAGGACTGACAGACATCGAGCATTTCTGGACCTGGTCTGGTAAACCGGGAACGCACTGTCTCACGGAGCCCCATCCAACATGAGAGAGACTGCGGAAGGTCGCGCCTGCTCTCGGCTGGTATTATCTCAGAACGTGGGCTCACCCCAGAGAACACTGCCACTGGGCTTCACCGAAGTGTCACCGAGTGTGCCAGGTGAGTCTGAGAGGTGTCCTCCTCCCACCCAGTGGCACGCCGGCCGGGAGGGGTCCTGGGGTGGCCAGAGTCCAGGGTGCTTGGCAGGTAGGGTCAGTCTCACTTGACAGCTCTCAGTGGCAGGATGAGGTGTGGTCACCCAACAGCACCAATGCCCCAGGCCACCGGCCCACACCCCACACACGGGCAGTGGCCCTTGGCGGCCAGTTTTCCGTCCTCCGGCTCCCGTGCCCAAGCAACGCCACTGGTCCCGCCTCCGCACTCCCACAACGGAGGAGCCCCTTTCTCTGAGACTCACGTGGCACGAGAACCTCATCCGCAGCACCTTGTGCTGAGGAGAGGATCGGGGGTAAGGGCACTGACTTCGGGCGCTGTCCCTGTGGCCACGGGTGGCGCTTGGGCAATGTTGGGGACAGGTTTGGTCTTGACAGCAAGGAGGGAAGAAGACATCCAGCTTCCAGCAGGCAGAGGCCGGGGACGCCGCCCAACACCACATGTGCCCAGGGCAGCCCCACAGCGCGCCCTTGGCACTTTGGGCAAACACTTCTCCGTACCCCGAGAAGGAGGGAGCCAACTCAGACACCGAGAGACTCCAGAGAGAAGAGAAACTCACAAGGGTGACCATCCCTTGACCTCCGTCCGAGGAAGTCAGCATCACGGAACCCCAGCAGGAACGTGTGTGCACAGGAAGCCTCCGCCGCAGCCCTGGTCCTGGCCCGGCCCCTGGCTCTAGCGGCTCTGCTCTGTGGCCAGCGCAGCTCTGGGGGACCCTTGCGGACCACGCCCTTCCCGGGCAGACTCTGGAGGAGTGGGTCCCGAGGCTGGGATGGTGACTGCAGGACTGCCCAGGGAACCCCTCAAGGTGACAGAGCACCTACCTTGACAAATGTCTGCCCTTAGTAAGAAGTCGGAGCAAACAGGGTGACTTGTGAAGGGCTATCTTTCTGTGGTGACAACCTTGACCTATCTGGAGGGCAAAGAAATAGAAGCGGATCAGTATCGAGAGCTTTCCTGTGTTATTTTATCTGCCAAGTCACCTGAAAAAGTTTACATGGCTTGAAGGGAAAGAACCAAAAGAAAGGATATTACACTGAAACCTTTACTGGTAACACCTTTTTAATAGGCCAAAGTAACTGTACAATTCATTATATTCTTCCTGAGAATAACTTATATCCCCCAACAGACCAAAGGGAGGGTGCTGTTCTCAAAAGCAGTGACCGGAGCGGGCGGGGTGGCAGGGCAGCAGAGAATGCCCACCGCTCCAGTGCGCAGACCCCTCCTGGGAAGACAGACACGATGAAGGTTAGTTAACTCCAGTGGCTATAAAATAGTCAACATGGCTTTAATCTTTCTGTATAAATTATATAAAAATGGAGACAGGGTGGGTCGGAGCCTCTTCTCAGTGCAGTTCAGAGGTGCGCTGGTGGAGAGCACCCCACAAAACCGCACGCCGCCCCGGCGCGGGGGGAGGGCTTGCGGTGCCTGCTCCCCAGTGGCTCCCGCGGACGCCTGCAGACCCGCAGGAAGGGGAAAGTGGAGAAGACGGGAGGGCCGTTGTTCTCTGTCTGAAACGCACGGCCTTCCAAACAGAGCTGTCACGCTCTTGCTTCGTCAAGTGGGGTCCGCGAACGGCAAACGGGGCGGGTTCTCATGCGGCAGACTCCAGTCTGCACGCTGCTCCGAGGCGGGTTCTCCCATCGTCCTCTCTGCGCCCACGAGTCCCAGCCGCGTCCGCGAACACAGAGCGTACACACTCCTTCATGACCCTAAAGGCTTCTCACGTACGACTTTCATTCTCAGAAAAACACCACATTTTGGATCCTGGACTCTTCTGAACACCGATTCAAAAACAAAAGGAAAAATGAACCCAAATCAAAATGTAGCTGAACTTGTGTGAGAGACTTTTAACCAGCTGTCAGAGAGTTGGCGTGGCCCTGCTGGTGGCGGACAGGCGCCGCTGGCTGCTGGTGGACACGGAGTGGCGAGGGGAGCGCAGCAGGCCCCTGCAGCTCAGTGGGGTCTCGTCTGGCCCAGCACCTTCAGCCGCGCCTGGTCGATGACGTCCAGCAAGTTCTTGGCGTCCACGGCCAGTGCGTGGGCGGCAGTGAGCATCTGTTTCTTGTACTCCTGCTGCAGGCTGGTCAGCACGTACTGCTGGGCCAGCTTCATCTTGCCGATGAGCTCGCCCAGGTCTGAGTTCAGCAGCTTTTGCGCCATCTCGATCTGCAAGGACGAGAGGGGTCAGCAGGGCCGCCTCCAGCAACCTTCCCGCGAGATTCCCGCGCACCCTCGGCAGCGCAGGGCACAGGGAGGAGCTCCTGCATCGGGTGGGCCCGCCCGGCATCCCCAGGCAGGGGCCGGGCCCTACCTCTCGGTGAGTGCTGGCTGGTAGGCTGGGGATGGTCTCGTCCACGGTGGCCAACAGTGTGCGCAGGGCCAGGCCGACATCCTGAGGGGACAGGACTGCACATGTCAGGTGGCACCGGAGTCACAGGCAGCATTGAGCTGAGTCCCAGGTGTCATTTTCCGTTCCTCTCTACTACTCTAAGGAAAACTTCCGTTTCTTTTCCTAGGTGCTGAGCCTGACCTTTCAAGTCATGAGGCAACTTCCCCCCAAAATTTGGCCCCCTGGGGCCAGGGCCTGACCGCCCTGGGAACAGGGTGGGGAGCACGCTCACGAGAAAAGGCTGCAGGAGCCACACTCTCCTGGCCACCGGAACTTCCACCCACACTATGCTGACCACCTGCCTGCCCTCCCGGGTGCACCTGCCAATGCAGCAAAGGGCGGACGGCACGCCCTGAGCCTGACGCCCTTGTCCTCACGGTGCTCCCTGAACTGGTTCTTCCCCAGGCAGAACCCCTTCTGTGGCCCGGGAGGCTGGCAGGGAGGTGTCGCAGCTGCCACAGTGCAAGCCCACACAGGGCCAGTCTGCAGGCACCGAGCGGCATGCGATGCCCCCACACCGTGCAGCCGTCCTGACCCGACTGCCACGCCAGCACAGCGCCCCAGACCTCGGTCGGGAGCAGCCCTGGGTGTGACGGCGGCTGTGACCCAGCTCAGCCCCACCCAGGGGCCAGGGCCTCTGCAGAGCAAGGGCATCCTGTGGGGATGGGTGTGACAGCCGTACCTTCACCATGGGGACGTACTCCTCGGGCGGGGCGGGCTGGATCTTACTGGACATCTCGATGACGGCCTTCACCAAGCCTGTCACGTTCTCATACACCCTGTCATTGGAGCGGTCCAGGTTGGCAGTGGGCGGGGGGCTGATTTCCTGGGGCTGAAGCTGCCAACAGAGAAGCTGTTATCTTTCTAATGTCCGGCAGGTGACGGCCTATCACCACGACACAGTTAGGGAGGGTCTTTAAAAGAGATCAAAGCAGATCACAGAACCGATTTTTCTCATTCGTGTGGGGTCGAGTTCACTTTGAGGATGACATGGCATGATTCATCCAAGTGACACACACATGAGGCCATCATTTCTCCAACTTTGAGCTCAGTTAAAGGAAATGAGATGGAATCACACGCACACTAACAGCCCCAGATCCTCTGGAAGAACTGATTCAATGAGCCCAGAGCCCTTTGCCCCCAGAGAACGAGTCTGTGTCCCACACCCGGCGGAGCATGTCAAAGAAGCCAGCTACGGGGCCGAGCATTCCGCATGCGGACTCGCAGTGACCACTTGCTTCGGGTCCTGCGGTGTAAACTGGCCGCCCCCAGCCCAGCCTAGCACCACGCTCCAGGGGGAGTGGCCTCAGCTCCTGGGAGGGAGGGACAGAGGTGAAGGAGGCCACCCAGCACCAGGCACAGATGTCGCCAGATGTGGTCCAAGGTAAGCTGGGTGCTGAGCTGCCCAGGGCCTCTGGGAGGCCATCAGTGGTGCTTAAGCACCACACTGGCCCCCCGGCCGCAGCCACAGCTGCAGCCGCACCTTCCCAGAGACCGACTCGGCGCTCAGCCATGTGCCTGCGGGGGGCTGGGGCCTGGGCGCCCACGCCTGAGCCCATGGGCCGCCTCTGCCCCGGGAGCCAAGTTCCACTCGGGAGTCCCCTTCTGGGCACAAGACAGGACGAGAATAGTCCCGTCCTGCGGAGACGGTCCTGTCTCCCTCTCTCACAGACATCACCACGGTTTCTGGTGAAGAACTGAATACTTGCGCCCCTCCAGCCCCCCCCCCCCGCAATTCTGCAGACCAGTTACATGCAGAGCGCTGGGTATGAGACAGAGCTGGACAGACACACAGACACGAAGTGCTTACCCTCCATGGCTATGTCGAACGGAAGGTGAGGAAAGGTTAAAGAAATTATCAGAGAGAGGGAAAAAAGAAAAACAATATTAATAAAGGCAGCAGACAAAACCCCCGTAAAAAAAATGAGCAGAACACATAGGCACGATTGTGCCCGGCTCCCGGCACGTGATGTCGCAGTGGGGTGGGCCGCCGGCGCGCCAGGAGCAGCTCTGCCACGTACCACGCCTGCTTTCGTGGAGTAAATGCAGAAAACAACATGCAAAGCCCAAGAATGACAATCTGGCAGCCATGCGAGAATCGTCAAAGAAGTAGGGGCCTTCCACAGGAAAGGAGAAGACACGCTTGTGGCCACAGAGGAGGTGACCACAGAGGAGGTGGCCACAGAGGAGGCCCCCGGGCCCGGCCCCCTTGGAGACAGGACACCACCACAGTCCGCTCTGAGACTGGGCCGGGCTTAAAGACGCTAGGAGCTCACTTTAAAAACAAAACCAGAAGCTCTTCTTTTGAAGCAATTTTTAAGGTTTGGTTCCTTTACTTTAAACTTACGAGTTTGATTTACTGCTTTTTTCTCTGCAGCTTGAAACAAGACTATGCACTGTGGCGTAAGAGGCAAAGGAACTGGAGGTGTGTCCTGTCCTTTCCTTGGAACTGTCTGAAAGCAGGAGCCCTCAGGTGTGCGGGTGTGCGGGTGTGCGGGTGTGCAGAATCGGGGCCACGGCCTACTCCCACCCTGTGCCGTGCGGGGTCACGAGGCAGGGAGGGTCACTTGGAGCTGTGCCGCCTGCACCGAGTGCCTGGTGCGGGCAGGACATGCCATGTCCCGCTGTGAAGGGGCTCCCACGGGAGCAGCCTTGTGGCTCCAACTCCATGGGGGGTGGGGGGCGCTCCAGTGGATGTGCTTCTGCACCTCCCTTTGGCCCCTCCTGCCACGGCACTGGCGCGGTGCCACCAGGGCCTCTTCGCAGGGATGGTCACTCCCCAGCAAGAACTTGGTCTGGACAGACATCTGTTGTCCGTTTCCTATTTCCTGAGCCCGTGGAGACCCTGGTGGGCGCTAAGGACAAGCCACAGAGATGCAGCCAGTCCTGCCCAGTGAGGTGGGAGGCAGTCACAGCCTCGGATGACTTGCAACCAAGGTGAAAAACAGGGACTGACTGCTGGCCAAAGCCTACTTGAACGAGTTCCTGCCTAGGTGATAGAGCAGTGTTCTCCTAGGCCGATCTGATGACCGAACCAAACGGATGGGTAATGAACGGAGACACATACCTCACGCTTACTGATGATTAAAAAACCTTCGGCGCGCCGCACATTTCGGCAAGCGTCCGACGCCACACCCTGCACTGAGAGGCCTCGCCAGTCCCGTTTGTCCCTGCTAGCCCCGCTGGGAACGTGAGCACTGGTCACACCTCTAGGCTGGTATCAGATCTAGGTCTTGCCTTGGCTTTCCACGCAGTACAAGCCACTCTGAAAGTGTGCTCCTGCGGCTCATGGAACCGAAGGAGACCGTTAACCTAATTCCACCCTGCTTCCTTTGATTTATGTCAAGAACCCACATCGGGGAGGGCCATGTCCTGCTTTGCTCCTCCTGAGACTACCTGGTGTGGGGCCCACCGCACCTTGGCTGCAGAGATGACATTTTCTCTCCCCCAGCACTCTCCGTCCCTGGCATGGCAGGGAGCCTGCTTCTATCCTGTGAGTGTATGAGGGACCTGGGCGGATGCGCACACGTCCGCAGGGCTACAGCTCCTGGCAGGTGGCCACCCGGGAGGGAGCCCAAGTCTGTGAGGACACCGTGGTCATCAGATGAGCGCACAGGGGCCAGCCACCGAGGAAAATGCTGCCACTGAGCCGACGGCCTGCCCCGACCTCAGAGATAATGGACACAAAATGTGCGTCGGGTCCAAGGAGCGGAGCGGACATGGAGCCCGCTGCCATCGGGCTTGCCCAGCACCCTGGGGGGCTCTCGGGGACTGAGGGTCAGAACCCCAGGCGGGCAAGCAGAGGCTTGGAGCCCAGAGAAGCTCCCAGCCATCTGCAGCTGTGCCTTACGGCCCTCATCCGTCTGCAGGTGGCTCTGCACAGCAGGTGCAGCGCTGGCCCTGTGAGGACAGCTAAAGAAGGTTCCCCACGGCCACCCTGACAGCCCGGAGGACCGAGCCTGCAGAAGGTCTCATTTGCCCAGCATCCTGGCTTCATTAACTTCTAAAACCAGAAGCCACCCCAGGACTTCATTCCAAAGGAACACTCTGCCCGACACGGTGAAGAGGGACCTGGATAGTCAGGAGCTGCCTGAAGCCCCAGAATCTGTCACGTGGGGGGAAAATGGGGAAGATTTTCAGGGAAGCTTGCCCCTGGCTCTCAGAGGGGTGTGGAGCCAAACCGAGCAGAGCCTGCTGCCCTCGGCCCCGCCTGAGCGTCACGGACGGGTGCCCCTGCCCACCTTAACGCCCTCGTTGTAGCTGTCCCCAGGGCTGCTGAGGCTGGCGAGGCTGCCCAGGGGGCCGGGGGCTCCAGGGCGTGGTGGCTTTTTTGGAGGAGCTGCAGGATCTAGAAAAGGGAACAAGACTCATTAAGTGACCCAGCTTCCCACAGAGCAAGTGAAACAACCCCCAACCCCCAGACACAAGCACGGTTCCCATGTGCCCGGCAGACCCTTGTGGTGGGGAGGCGGCCGCTGCCAAGGTTGAGCCAACCAAAGGGTCGCCAGTTCGATTCCCAGTCAGAGCACATGCCTGGGTTGCAGGCCAGGTCCCCAGTAGGGGGTGTGCAAGAGGCAACCACCCACTGATGTTTCTCTCCCTTTCTCCCTCCCTTCCTCTCTAAAAACAAAGAAATACAATCTTTAAAAAGTAAAATAAAACCTGCTCCCTCCAAGTCACACAAACTTCTTGATAAAGTCTCCTCTCCGTTTACCTGGTTTTCCCACAGGCTGATAGACGTGCTGGTTTCCAGCCTGTGGGGACAGAAGTTCAGTCAGCACCTGGCTGGCCGGGCAGGGCCCCACCGGCTCCACCCACCCAACCCCCGCACCCCACTCATCCAAGAAGGGAACGGTTAGCCTTGCGCTCCCGCCCCAAGACCAGGGAAGAAGACGGCTCCACCCAGACCACGCCAGCACAGCCAGCTGCCCACGATCGCCCTTCCCTGGAATAGCTCAGTGAAGAGGGTTTCTGGAGCTCATTCTACTTGGGGAAAGAAAGACTTCCCTCCTCACTTTCAAACACTAAGCTGGTTCACGCACGCACGCGCGCGCGCACACACACACACACACACACACACACACACACAGAGGTTTCAAGGAGACACCTGCTCTCAAGGCCCTTTCTTTAAGGTGGCCCACAGCTCAAATGCCCCCACCCGGCATGGCCACCGCCGCTGGTCAGCACTCTTGGCCTCAGTGGCGTGAACCCCCCACACCGGCGCGTGTGCGGAGCACGGAGCGCTCACCAGCCGGCCGTGCTGCAACAGTTTCAGTTCACCTGTGGCCACTGGGCCAGGCTGCTAGTCCCGGCCCCGCCCTGGCACCTCGCGGGCCCACGCCGCTGGCATGCACCAAAGGAGGGGTGTAGTGAGCAGTGAACAATGGTGCGTCATGTGTCTGCAAGCAGGCTGCGCCCAGTGAAGACAGAGAGGGGGCCGACCCAAAAGTGTGATTTCAAGTGGGAAGGTCAGGCCTTTCGGGAAGGTGATCTCTGAGCAGACCCGAGGGGAGGGAGCTAAGAAGGAACCTGGAAGACAAGCCCTGGGAGGGCCAGGCCGAGGGTTGGCGAAGTCCGGGCTGCAGAGCAGGGAGCAAGGGTGGGACGGTGGGGAGCCCGGCCCAGACAGTGAGAGCGGGCGTGGCTGTGCTGAGTTGACTGGCCCAGTGCTCGTGCTCAATGGCTCCAAGCACAGACTTCCTGGCTGGTACTCGGGCAAAAGGAAGGCTCCACTGGCCGGGACGCTGGGGACTCGTTCCGCAGAGTCTGTCCGAGGTGCTGCGCTAGGTGGGCAGCTCCGTAGCTGGGCCCCGGATGGGCACTGCCTCGTGGGTGCAGCCGCCTTGGAGGACCACTCAGCGGTCCGGGCTCCGGTCTGCCCGTGGGTACACTGAGGCTGACAGCGCTCACCTAATCACCTCGAGGGGCTGTGACAACTCGGCCCCTGCCGCCTGCGGAGCACACTGGCCCGTGAGCACGTTTCCCGGGGACCACAATGGCCGCAGGGCATCCCCACTCGGAAGGGAGAGCAGCTGGCGGGGCACCCCCACGGCTCATGGGCCCGGGTGACGACGGGCTCACGCACGCACGAGTGTGCGTCTGCAGGTGAACAGGCGGCCTGCACCCCGGCGGGAGTGAGGCCCTTTCCACCGGGGCCTCTGTCCCTGCTGGGGTCCTCACAGGCTTTCCGTCTATTCAGATTAACCTGAACTAGCTCTTTAAAGAGCACGTTAGGCGTTTCCCCTGACAACACGCAGAAAGAAAAAGTCTGACCGAGAAGATGTGTGTAGCCACATAGCAGGCAGGTTCCAGACGTTCCCACTGTGAGACCTCCGAGGGTAAGTAGGACGCACACTCATTCACGCAGTGAGTATGAGAACGCACAGACTCGCTCCAGTGCACCAGGACTAGATTCACACACACACTTCTCCAGGGCAGAGTCCAGCTCACTCGGAGAGGACGGAGCTGGGGTGGGAACCCGCTGTGTCCATGTGTCCGGCCAGAACTGGGCGGGGACTGAAACAGCACCGCCCCAGGTGGAGGGCGTGTTCGCAACACCACACCCGCACAGTGGACATGAAACATCAGTCTGCGTACGGCGAGAATGCGGCACTGCTCACCGGGCCCTGGAGACTCCCGTCCTCCCGGTCCATGCTGCCTCTCGAGAGCCGCACGTCAGGTTTCTGAAGTGGAAACAGAATCAAAGGGCATCAGAGCTAAAAGAGCCAGTTTCAGAAAAACTCTCAAAACCCAGAGGTCATAACCCCAGCAAAGCCCACGCGCTCCGTGAACGTGATCGGAGCCCCCCCCACCTCTCTGGCCAGCGGCTGGAGAGGCTCCCCCTCACCAAGGAGACCCCCACCCGAGACCGAACAGAGCAGCCGCACCCCTGCCTGCTCCCAGAGGACGGCTGCCTGTGCCCAGCCACCCGGCCGAGGCGGCCACGGCCCAGGTACCAGAACCGCGTCCCCCAAAGCACCCGGAACACAGAAGCCTGCCGGAGAACTCTGGGGGGAACAGAACAAAGAGTGCGTGAGTTCCACTAGCCCCAGAATAAAGAAGGCAGGTTGGTGCTGCCCATCACGGGGACCACACAGTGGCCACCCCTCCTCAGGCCCTACGATCAGGCTCTGACAGCTCCCTGCCTAGGCAGGGGTGTCCTGCTGCCCGACCTGTCTGTGCAGCCCCAGGGGCAGGCTCCAGGACGCGGCCACGGCACCGGGTGGGTGATGGAGAATGGGCCTCTGAGCCTCGCCTCGCTCTTCACTTGAATTTGCGTGTGGGCAGGAGTGAAACCACTCACGGAGCGTCCGGCCCTCCTGGGATGTTGTGCAGTGGAGCTGGGGGGACGGTAGGGGGAGGCTGCTCAGCTCACCGCAGCACAAGGGCGTCCTGACCCACACAGGCTCCGAGCGGGGCAGAGACAGGGCCCACTGCCCCGGCTTGTTCGTGAGGAGTAAGTGGGTCAGCGTGACTGAGTCACCGCCATGTGCAGGGTCACAAGAAGTAAACACGCCCACTGTTCGTTCAGCACCTGGGCCCTGGGTGATGCCTCTGTGCGCCTATCCCACCACACCTCCGGCCATCTCCCCAGGATGGGCGGCGGGTGCTGGGTCAGAGGGCTCCGACATTTGGAAAGCTCTGGGGAGAAGCCTCCCAGTGCCTGCAGACACCCCAAGACCGGTCAGGAGGGCAGGCATTTCCTCTCCCAGCCCCCCGGGCAGCCCCTCGGGCAGTCCCCCGGGCAGTCCCCCGGGCTATCAGGGGGCCGGTCGGTTCAGTGCACAAACTGCCCCGGGCTGTGCTGGGCGCCCCTGCCCCTGCCGCCCCACACCGTAGAATACTTCTGTTTCTTCTCGTGGGGCGCTCAGCTCGAGGACAGAGGCCAAGGCGGCCTGCTTCCCACCAGCTCTCCACAACCACGGCAGCAAGGATGGACAGACGGGGGGGGGGGGAAAGACGCCCCGCAGGACAGGACTACCTGTGCCCTGACCACCCTCACCGCACACCCACCTCCTCCCCCAGGACATGGCCTCCCCAGGGCCTGGCACAGCGCGGCGCGGAAGGAGCACCTCCGTGCGAGAGAGGGCCCCTGGCTCTCATAAAGGCAGACCAGCCATCTGAGGCAACACGCTGTCGCCATGTGTGACCAGCTCACACTGACAATGAGCCGGCACCACCATCTGCCAAAGGCGTTTTCTTTACTTTTTGCTTCAGTGAAAGCAACTCAGGTTCACTGCCTGCTTACAGTAACGATTCACACCAATTACCTATCTCGTTCCCCTGTACATCATGTGAAAGGGTTCACTTTCACTGGCCACCGAGACTCCCTCAGTTACACTTTCCCAAAGGCAGGATGTCAACTGTAAATGAGAAAGGCCTGTCACAGGATGTCCCCTGGTCCCAGGGTGGGGCGCCTGAGCCTCACCCCAGCAGCACAGACAGCTGCCGGAACGGAGGACAGAGTCAGGCAGCCCGTCGGAGAAAGGGGGCTGGGCCGTGACCAGCAAGGTGAGCTGCTGGGTGAAGCTCAAGGGCCCTGACCCCCGTGCAGGCCGCTCTGAGATGAAGCGTGGCCGTCTGGAGCTGCGGACCCACACGGGTGCATCACGGGCGCGTCTGGGGCTCTCCGGCCGCCTCCCCCTCAGGCCTCCTCTACTCTTCACTTAGGTGCAATGCACGCAGCGACGTGTGCGATGGCCAGTGGAAAGCTCAACCTGTTTTCACACACATGTAAACCTGCCTAGCACACAACCCAGGTCAGAACAAGCTTGTGAGTAAACGACCGTGTGAACTCCACGTAAATGGACTCCGACGTGCGCCCTCGTGTGCAGCCCATGTTCCCATGCCAGGTGGCGACCATCTGCTCAAGCGGGGGCTGGGCAGCGTCCCTCTGTCGGGGTGAGTGGACTGTGGCCACAAGGAAGCTGCTGTGGACAAGCCCCCATGAGTGGGCGCGACCACGCCACTCCGCCTCCTCTGAGCACGGCACTGTCTGAGATGCCGGGGCACAGTGACCGGCGGACGGGCTGTCTCCGGGTGCCGGGAGAGGGAAAACGGCCCAAGGACGGCTCATTTCCGCCTCAGACACAAAGCCGGCTTTGTCGAGATAGGCCTCCTTGGCATCTCCAGCCCTGTGTTTGGTACAGCTAATGTCAGAGAGCTGCTGTGTGCACAGTAATAAAAATGAGTGACAGAGTTAACTGTGAGTTGTCCCGAACAGAAAAGAAAGTCCTTGAAATACACTGGGGTTCTGCTCAGGGCCGCCGGCACCCAGCCCAGGGGCTCGAGGTGTCTGGGGAGAGGAGGAGGGAGTGGCCCCCCACCGCGCTCAGGCGCCGTGGGTCCCGGCCGTGTGACCTGGCAGGGCCGCCACTCTAAGGCCGTGTGCTGATCGACAGACGGACACAGGGGCCTGGCTCACCACACGCCTCAGTGAGAGGCAGGGTCACTGTTAGCAACAGCAGCCACACGGCTACTGAGGTCCGAGAAACAGCAGGCTCGATAAACCGCTGCTGAGTCTGATCCATCAGACACAGTCTGGAAAATACGGCTGAAAAAGCCACCTAAGAATTACTGTTCGAGTCGAAACCGATGCCTTTTCCCAGGCTGCGGGACGGATGTCAATGAGGGCAGCACTGCTCCTGCCCCGCCCAGCCCGAGCACCGGGGTAGGGTGGGAACGCCCTGTTACCAGGCCATGATAAGACAGAACAGAAATTTCTGTCTTAGAGCAACGCAAAATACAGCTCCAAGTCTGTTGACGTTCGTAATAAAAGAGCCGGATGGGCACACTGTATGTATTTTTGAGCATGTCCTCTTCCTAGGAAGTGAGGTTTACTCTTGAACCGGAGCAGCAGGTGCACGGTGCTCGGACCGCACCGGAGCCTGCCCCTCCCTGCCAGCTGGAGCAGCGCCCTGCCCCAAAGGTAGCAGGTTCTGCCCCACAGGGAACTCAGGGCATCGGGACACAACACGGCCCGTGGGCTAACCACTAACGGGATTGAAGGAAGGCTTCTTTATAATGAGTTGGCCCAACGGAAGGACCTCGGCTCTTGAGCAGCCCCTCGGGGCTCCTCTACAGCATCCCTGTGGCAGTAGCTGACCTGTCATTCTGTCCGTTCCGTCAGCTTTTGGTCAGGACTGTCTGTGGGGCTTGGTGTCACACGAAGCCGTATGACCGAGGGTCCCAGATCCTCCCCAGTGCGGCTCCCGGCAGCAAGGGAGCTCAGATGCAGGTGCGATGACAGCCCTCCCTGCCCCCAGCCACGGCCCACACGTCGGTCGTGCAGAGGCGCTGTGCTATTTCAGTGCAGGCGCTGCACTTAGTTCCCAGTGAGAGTTTAGAGCGTGCGGGGATAGAACAACTTAGGTAGGGTCTTGACAGTGAGGATTTGAGTTCTCCCAAGTCCAGGCTCTGCCTTGTAATGCATCTTACAAAGAAGAGCTGGAGGGGAGGCTCCCTGCCAGCCAGGTGCAGGCCGCCACCTCCCCCACCTGCTGGGGCCTGTGTGTGGTCTGTCCCCAGCCTGGGCTGTGCTCTGGCCCCTATTGGCTGTCTCACGATCCTTGGATGCACTTGACTCCTCCCCAGCTTACTCCGGGCCCTTGCACTCTGCTGCCCTCTCCCTGGAATGTTCTTCCCCAGGGGCTGAGGAGTCTTCTGGGGCTGGCCCTCTTTCCTTTGGTGGCGCAGCCCTCCCCTCTCATGCCCAGTCTCCCCACCTGCCCCATCACAGTCTGGGGCCAACCAGGGAGCACAGGAAGAAAGGGGGGCTGGGGTGAAGGCTGGACTGGCCCTCCTGTGCAGCCACAGCAGACACCAGGTCGGAGAGCAGCAGGGTCAAACTGGGGTTCTAGAACCCTCCCTGTGGTTGCAACTCACCCCCAGTCCTCACACTGGCAGCGGCTCTCAGCCCTCCACCTGCAACACCCACCTAACGGGGGCCCGAATCAGCGGGGGCAGTGGCCACACGAGCCCTGCCGGGAAACCAGTGCTGTGCTGACCCTGAAGCCCACGAGCAAATCATTCTCACGGATGAACGTCAATTCTAAATCCCAGCGAGACACCACACACAACACCAACCACGGCCTGGAAGGGACGATTACTCAGGACCAAGTGGGGACTCACTGTGGGGATGCAGGACTAGGGTAAACCAAGCAAAACGCTGATGTGAAGCCTTGTAAACTTTTCTTTAAAGAAAGAAAATGCAATATATTTACAACGTACAGGCAAGATTACACAGATCGTACTGACGGAGAAAACTCTTACAGACAACATCTTTGGAAACAAACAGGAAGAGCAGGCGAGGATCTGTTTAGTACAAAAGTCGGCCAGAGCTGCTTCAGGAGAAAAGCCCAAGGTCCTAACTAACACGGAAATAAAGGCAGAAAATGCCAACAGAGCGAAACTGCACGATCGGAAAATCCAAGGAACTCAGGCAGGAAGAGCTCATGTGATAAACACTGAAATGCAAGGTGGCTCCCCCAAAACCGCCGCACACGCACACACAGAAGCACACGGCAAAGAGATCCATGCAAAGGAGACGCGGGTCTGTCCGTGACGGGACACTCTGCACAACTGGGCAGCAGCGTGACAGGGAAGGGGACACATGCTCAGAGACACGGTCATAGTGACTCGGGGGAAACAGGGAGGTTGGGAAAACTCCAAGGGGGCCCTCCTCTGAGCCAGGAGACAGGGGCACCGAGGAGGCCACACTGCTTGGCTCCCAGGGCAGCCTACTGCATGCACGTACAGTCTCAGGGACGGGAAAACCTGGCACACAGAGCAGCCTGCAGGACAGACGCAGCCTGGAGCCGACACCGAGAAGACATGCCATCGCCCTCCCCCAGTGAGCTCTGGTCACACTGGGCAGGGTCTGAGAGCAGTCTGCTGACCCCACCACCACACCCGCTGTGCCCACCGCCCGCTGCCTCTTTCCTGAGCCTGTCTGTCTGGCAAATTCCACTCTGTCTTGAAGCCTTGGCTCCAACGCTATCTGGACTCTCCCCCCTCCTGACCCCCAGGCACTGGCAGACCTTGGTCACGGCCTGGGCATAGTGCCGTCCCACACACTCAGAGGCACCCTTTGTTCAAATGGGACTGCACACAGTTTAAAGAGTTTGGAACACTTACTCTGTAAAACACAAGTCGGTGTGCAAAACCGGCTGTCTGGACAAGAAGGGGAAGACTCAGGGCAGCGGTATTCTTAGAACCGACAGAACACCCAAACGATTCACCCGGTACGTAGTAACCATGTTTTTCCAGCTTGCCTTACCATCCGAGACACGCCGTAATTGAACTGGCTGGTTCAGAACTCTGGCAGAGTGCAGCCTGTGTTCCCGGAGCGAGTCGCTCTGATGCCCATCAATCACAATGACCGTGACTGCGCACAGAGCGGAGAGCACACTGGCAGCGCGGGGAATACCACCTGTGAGTGGCAGCCTCCAGCACACACCAGAGGTGGGCAGCCACGCGGTCAGGGCCACGAACCCTGGGGTGGGCGGCAGGCTGACTCCCAGATCAGCCCCACTGACTGGGGAACCTGCTTCCGCATCTCTAAAGTGAGACAGCAAAGGGACAGGTTTGTGTTCCCTAATGCTGGCTTCCAAACTCCGAGAAGCCCTGAACCATGACTTTTATTTTACTTTTTTACACTTGAAGCAAACCAGTTTCATGGCAGACCTGACCTGAACTTGAAGTGAGACCCACTGCGTGCCTGTTTGTGCACGTGTGCACTCTGCTGTTGGAACACGGGCGCTTCAGCATTGGGACGCCACTGAGATAGGCGCAGCACACGTGCCGTGTGACACCAGCTCTCCGAACTGAGAAGAACGGGGTTCCGAGGCCACAGCACCCAAGGTCCAGACAAAGGGCGCCAGGCGGCTGCGCAGGCCGAATGATCTACGCGTGAGAGGTGCGCAGGCAGTGGTGGGCAGACAGTGGTGCTGCGCGTCCTCCTGGCTGCTGACCGCAACCAGGGCGTGCCCCGCAGAGGTGCGCACCAGACCTGTCTGGCAGTGAGCTGAGCCTGGGGTGTGAGGTCTGCAGGCCTGAAAAACCAAAGGTGAGAACCAGCTCCCGCCTCAGGTGACCCATTTCTAAGCTCACAGGTGTGTGCACACCAGGCCAGCCAGCTGCCGAGGCCAGTCCCAGGTCACCTGCCTTGAGGCCCTGGCCTTTCCTAATGAAACCAGTAGACAAGAGCTTCCGGGGATTCTAAAGCAGAGCATGAAAAACGTAGCCACACGCAGAGAGTGAAATCAGAACCCCCTGCTGGTGACTCCCGCAGAACACAGCTCGAAACCACCGTCGGTGACACTGCGTGCTGCTGGACACCTGGAGGCCTGGAGACGCCAGGCGGCCAGGAGCGGGGCCGTGTCTGCCCACACCGGAATCTGATCCCTCGGCCTGGAGGAGCCCCGACTGAGCCCAAGCACGAGTGACTGCTTGGACCCCCCGGGAAGGCTGCCCACCCCAGGTTTTGTGGAAGCAGGGTGAGACCGGCCTCTGCTCAGCCACGATGCCCCTTTGATGGCAGCTTTAGGAAGACTGAACTGGCCGTGTGGGTGGGGCTCTGAGGCTGAAGCGGAGGGCGCAGAAGTGTGTGGCAGTGGGGCCACGATTCCAAAGGGCTTGGGCCAAGTGACAACAGAGGCTGCTCTGTCTCACCACTTCCTCTCTGTCCCCAGAGGACTTCTGAGGGGCACCAACATAAGTTGCCAAGAAAGGCATATCCCAGCCGCAAGCCCACACATGCAGGCAGGGCCTGCCACTCAGCGTGGGCGAGAGGCCCACTGGAAGGCCAGCCCTGGGTCCCGGCCACGAGTTACACCCTGACGTGGAGGTGACAGTGGTGACACAGAAACCACAAAGACGCTCACACCTCTGAGCCCAAGGGCCCCAGTGACAGCTCAGACGTATGTGACGAGCGAGTTCAAGAGCAGCACACCCCGTACGACTACGAGGTGTCGGAACCAGACGCAGAACTGGCTCTGCCACTGGGGAAAGGGTGACCCTGACAACAGACTGCAGCAGGGCCCGAGGGGCAGCGCGCTTCCCGGCCACCATTACCAGGAACCTCTCCTCCTTCTCCAGCCAGCGCTGGTCTTCCTCCATCTCCTGCTGCTGCCGGATCAGCCGCTCCTCCATCAGGTGTGCCGGCAGCGCCTGCCCGATGCCTCGCAGGTCCCGCGCGGTGGGCTCCTGTGGGAGAAACAGCACGGCTGCTCTGGGGCCTGCTTATGATGCTTCCTTTCCTCCGCGTTTGCAAAAGACGCAGCGACTGGGCACGGAAACGAGGCCCCGCACTGCCTCTGGGAGCCCCTTTGCCAGAAGCGGCGAGGCTGCACGTGCCGGGCACCTTTATGAAGTGCGCCCCCCACTCGCCTCCGCAGGCGGGTCTGACGCACGTGCAAAGGTGCCGCCGGGCCGAGTGACCCATGGACACAGGTGGGGGTGCAGCAGGAGGACCCACACGAGAGACAGACACGGCGGGGCTGACAGCAGGCCCCACTGCCTGTCCCCACTGCCGCCTCGGGCACACACCAGTTCTAGTGCTGCCAGGGTCCTCTTCCCAGTGGGTGGGCCAGTGGTGGCCACGTCTCTGCTCCTTCAGTGTTGCACTGGCCAGAAAGTCCACGTGGTTTTTTCCATGAAAATTAGACATTTTCCTTTTCACCAAGAACAGTATTTTGAGTATGTTGGCTACCTCCCACATGGTTTAACATGGATCGTCCTCAATTAATATCTCGATTCAATCACTATCAACTTCAACTGGTCTACCCGTCAGTGGAGCATCGTCCAATGAGAAATCTCCAGCACGAAAGTCTGCAACCACTTTGACATGTCCGATCAGTCACAGCACCGTCTCCACACATTGCACCAATGTTTTCACATTTCAGTTGCGTTTTTACCTTCCTCGAAATAATAAAGCATGGTGTGCTGAAAATGTTGTGTACTCCCTTCCATCTTCAATATTAAAATGGCTACAAAAAAATTCACTCATTTTTATGTTTTTTTAAATACTCTCTGATATGATGGCTGTCACAATACAATCTAATAAAATTGCTTTAGATAAAGTTAAAGACGCTGTAACTGCTACTAGAGCCATCTTACAAAAAACACAAGTGAACTTTTTGACCAACTCAACAAGAGACTCATAGAACCAGGAAGCATTTGAGTGAATGGAGTATCCTGATGTGAAAATCAGGCCACCAATATCAAGAAGGAGTAGGAGTTAGAAATCCCGGTACCGACTTCCGCCAAGATGGAGGCATAGGTGGATGTGCCGTGCCTTCTCACACAACCAAGTTTAGAGACAACTAAATATTAGCAACAGAAAACACAGCCAAAACACAGAAGATTGAACTTTTCGGAAGTCTGTCAACAACAAATTCTTCAGCCTGACCGGTAAAGGGAGAAACCAGCAGCTGGTGGAGCGGGGTTGCACAGGAAAACTCGGTCAGACGGCTCAGGCGCGCGGAATCCAGGCGCAGGGTTGGACCAAGTGAGCGACTGAGCGAGCGACCTCGGGGAAACAGCGAGGGAGCAGGGCTGCGGGTTGACTGTGGTCGCACATTGGTGCACAGATAGACAAGCGAGGGAGTGGGCGATTGGAGCGGGACCCAACCGGTCCCCGCGGCAAGCGGCCGGGAGGGCACCGCCATTTCCTTGCTCTGACCCCGCCTCCACATACAGCGTCATAACCCAGCGACTCTGAGTGGCCCGGCCCAGGTGAACTACCTAAGCCTCTGCTCCTCACCCAGCGGCACGGAACAGCAGAGGGGGCCGCCATTTCCCAGCTCTAACCACACCCCCACATACAGCATCACAACCCAGTGACCTGGGAGTCCAAGGCTCCGCTACTCACACTTAAAGGGTGCAAACAGACCAAAAATGGCTCAAGAAAATCTCAAAGCCCCAGAGCCTATAAATCTAAGCGATGAAGAAATAGCAAAACTCTCAGACGCACAGTTTAAAACACTGGTGATCAGGATCCTCACAGAACTGGTTGATTATAGCCACAAATTAGACAAATATATGAAGGCGAAACTAATAGAAATGAATGGAATTGCACAGGAAACCAATAGCAATGAAAAGGAAACTGGGACTCAAATCAATGGAGTGGACCAGAAGAAAGCAAATAATGGCCAAACAGAAAAGAGTCAAGAAGCAAGAATTCAAAGAAATGAGGAGAGGCTTAGGAACCTCCAGGACATCTTTAAACGCTCCAACATCCAAATTATAGCGTACCAGAAGGGGTAAAGGAACAGCCACCAGTGGAAAACTTATTTGAACAAATAATAAAGGAGAATTTCCCCAATCTGGCAAAGGAAATAGACTTCCAGGAAATCCAGGAAGCTCAGAGAGTACCAAAGAAGTTGGACCCAAGAAGGAACACACCAAGGCACATCATCATTACATTAGCCAAGATTAAAATGAAGGAGAGAATCCTAGAAGCAGCAAGAGCTAAGGGGACAGACACCTACGAAGGAGTCCCCATCAGACTGTCAGCAGATTTCTCAAAAGAGACCTTACAGGCAAGAAGGGGCTGGAAAGAGGTATTCCAAGTCATGAAATCCAAAGACCTACAACCAAGATTGCTCTATCCAGCAAAACTTGCATTTAGAATGGAAGGACAGATAGAGTGCTTCTCAGATAAGATCAAATTCAAGGAGTTCATCATCACCAAGCCCTTATTATATGAAATGTTAAAGGGACTTATCTAAGAAAAAGAAGTTAAAGAAACACGAACAGTGAAAGGACGACAAACTCACAGTTATTAACAACCACACCTAAAACAAAAGCAAACTAAAAGGACAGCTAGATCAGGAGTGGAAACATAGAAATGAAGATCTCAAGGAGGGTTAGCAACAGGGGAGTGGGAGTAGAAGGGGGGAGAAGGTACAGAAAATAAGTAGCATAGACAGTATATAGAAAATAGATGGGGGGGCAAGAATAGCATGGGAAATACAGAATCTAAAGAACTTGAGACACATGGACATAAACTAAAGGGGGGTAATGGTGGGGACGGGGGGTAGGGTGGAGGGGAATGAAGGGGGGGGAATAGAACAACTGTAACAGCATAATCAATAAAAAAAATTTTTTTAAATGATTAAAAAAAAAGAAAAGAAATCCCGGTACCTTGGGCAAAGCCTGGTCAGCTAACACAGCCTAGGGACGCCCGATTTACCTCCACTCCAGGCTGCCACATCGGCATCTCCTGTGGCCGGTGATTCCACGAGTCCGTCTGGTCCAGCAGAGACACCTGCCCCGGGAACATGCTGCCGGCCATGGGGGGGACGCCGTGTGAGCCAGGGTAGCCAGAGACCTGCAGACGGGTAAGTGTCAGTCACAAGCCGCCACGGTGGGTTCTGCACAGTTCTCCTCTCCCCATGGAGGGGAGGTGACTAAGATGACAGAGATGGAATGGCCCCAATGATGGTCACATGTCCCCAGCACCTGTGACGATGGCACCTGACATGGCAAAGGGACCTCGCAGGTGGAGTCTACGTGGGGAACCCTGAGATGGGAGACAACCCTGAACTACCTGACTGGACCCGATGTGACCACGAGGTCCCTGACAAAGTGCAAGAGGGGAGCAAGAGAGGTGAGGGGGAGACGTGACCACTGAAGCCCCACCCGAGAGGTCCAGCATTGCATGTTGGCTTGAAGGTGGAGGGGCAGGTCGCGAGCCCGGAAATGCGGAGGAGGGCCCACGGGCATTCTCCGTGGGAGCTGCGTCGGACACCTAACACACACATGCCCTGGACAGCGGTCACCCACTTCGGAACCTCACACTTACCACACGCCGGGGGTGAAGGCAGCAGAAGGCCACACATCTGGTGGCACCCCACAATGCTCTGGAACCCCGCCCTGTCCAGCCCACCAGACAACCCCCCAAACATCTGTCCCCCGAGGAGCAAGGGCTGGTGGGGGGAGAGGTCTGTCCCCAAGTGCTGACAGTGACAACCAAGCCGGACAGGAGCCAGGCAGCCGGACGTGGAGGAAAGCGCCACAACAGAGGCAACCGAGAGGCCTTTCTCTAAGCACCCTCCCCTGGGGAGGGAGAGATGGAGCCAGACTCCCGAGCCTGCTCCCAGGATTCACTGGGCAGATACGAGGGCCTGGCTGGCTTTCAGTCTTTAATGAGATGCAGAGCAGCCAGGCGGCAGCCACACCCCCTCGGGCAGAGGCTGTGTAACTGCCAGGTCTGCAGGCACTGATTTATGCCAGAGCTCCGCCCTGATGACACGGAATCAATAAGCTGCCAAGTAAGACACGCAGAGAGTTCTCACAGTTTACTGGAATGGAAACATTTAATAATAAAAAATTCTGCTAAACATAAAATGCTATACCACTACTATATTTGGTCAGAAAAGACATATTACTGCCAAAGAACTTTTAGGAATTTTCACCACAGAGAGATTTCGAGTGACCCAAGGCGGCTTCCTGCCGAGGCCCAGCCCAGGACAGGACCCCAAGTGCAGTTCGGGCTGAAAAGGAACATGGCGTCCCCAGGGGAGCTTCCTGCACTGGGCCCGTTCACAGGACGATCGAAGGAAGCACTGCAACCTGCTCGCTGAGCTCCACTCTCCACCCTGTTCTAGGCACTGCGGACGCCGGGAACAAATCAGCCCCGGAGCCCCAGGGCAAGAAAGGGCCATGGACGGCACCCGCCCTGGGGCGTGGACCTGGGGCTTCTGCCTTCCCTGCCGCCAGGCTCTCTCTCAGCGAGACTGGAGCGCGGCTCCTGCTCTGCACCCGTGGGCTCTGACGTGCTGTGCCCCCAGGGAAGCTGATGCCCACCCTCGGGAACAAGGGCGGACAGTCACTGGCTGGGCTCTGGCCCTGCCCTCTCAGAGACTATCGTTTCCATGGGGCAGGGCCACTGTCTGTCAGGCTGACACCTAGGCTTGTCCCCACAGCAGGTGGCCTGGCTCTGAGGCACTTCTGACCCTTCTTCTCGGCTTCCAGGAGCACTGCCCAGCTGCACGTCCCCGCTGCAGAGCACGTGCCCACTTGATCCTGCGCTGGACCAGAGCGGGAGGGAGGAAGAGGGCAGGCCCGGAGCTGCGGGCCACGGGACACTCTCCTGGCCTCTCCCCTCTGTGTATGGATGCCGGCCCCACACTGCCTTGGACCTGACGAGGCTGACCACTCCCTAGCTTCCTGCTTGCCCAGCCCTGCGCGCGCGCGCGCACACACACACACACGCGCGCGCGCAGTGTGCCTCCCACCCCCAGCTGTGTGGGAGGCCCAGTGTACCTGGTAGTGGTTGGTCTGCACCGCGTGCTGCGGGCTCGGGTAGAAGCCTTCGCTGGACCGTGGGCTTGGGTAGCCAGGCCTGCTGGGCTGCGGACAGATGGACAGGCGTCACCTGAAGAAGCATTCTGATCGTTGTGCTAAATCTACATTTTATTGAAAATAACAGAAAAAGAGCTCTCTCTAAAAGAGCTTAGTTGGAAAGGATGCTGAAGGGTATCATGACATTTCAGTGGGGTTAGAACTCATCTTTTCAACCAATAATGCTAGGACTATCAAATACCCACAGGTGAAAAATGAAGTCGACACCTTCCCCGCAGCACGCACAGAAGTCGGCCCGAAGCACCGCTGCTCTGAGGCTAAGAGCTGAAACTGCGGAACTCTTAACAGAAATCACAGGGCAAACCTCTGGGCCGGAGAGTGGTTTCTTGGTTACAACACCAAGAGCTCAAGCAACAAAAGAGAAAAAAGAAAGATAAACTGTACTTTGCCCTGGCAGGTGTGGCTCAGTGGACCAGCCTGTAGACTAAAGGGTCGCCGGTTCAGTTCCCAGTCAGGGCACGTGCCTGGATTGCAAGCCAGGTCCCCAGTGGGGGGTGCACGAGAGGCAACCACACACTGGTGTTTCTCTCCTTTTGTCCTTTCCTTCCTCTCTCTCTAAAAATAAGTAAAATCTTTTAAAAAAGATAATAAACTGCACTTGATCAAAATTAAAAGCTTTAGTGTTGCAAATGACACCACCAGGCAAGTGAAACAATGAGGCAGAATGAAAGAAAATACTTGCAAACCATCTCTCACAGGACACGTAAGAACTTCTGGAACCTGACAACCAAGTGACAAATGCCCTCCCACAGCAGCGGCAAAGCCTGGATCGGCCCCGAGAGGTTCTGCCAGTGGCTGGGGCTCAGGCGCGGAGAGGCTCTCGACACCGCTGTGCATCGGGGACTCAGACCGGGATGTGTGCGCAGCCGCGTGCTGGCAGGGCGACTGGCCTCCGCTCCCTCGTCTGTACAGCGGGAGTGGTGCTACGGGAACTGGAAGTTACCAGAACTCTGCCTGTGAGTCACCTGAATCTGACGCTCGCAGCGAAGGAGCACTTGGTCTGAAACAGAGGGCAAGCCAACGCACCAAGTGGAAACCCTCAACTCTCCAAACTGGAATCGGGGCGACAGGAGATGGACCGAGGCCCTAGTGACCACACGTGGTCCTGGACGGACCCAGGCATCACTTGAGTTAGGTTCCCCGTCCGTGTGCCGGAAATGGCTCCAGAGTCTGTGGGCCACGACACCCCCCTACTCTCCACGTCCCAGGAAACCACAACGGCGCCGACCAGAGTGGTGAAGTCTGCACATGACACCTAGGGACTCCAATTCTTCAAAGGAGGGCAGGTTCAAGTCAAAAGTTACAGCTGTGGAGGGCACAGATGTGCTGCCAGAACAGTTCTGCTTCGTTCTCCACAAACAGGAGGCCAGTCCACGACTTCCTGCCACCACAGTCTTGGTGACAGAGTGGGCACGGGGCCGTCCCGAGTGTGGAAGAGGTAACACAGGTCAAGGCCTCCTGAGAATGGCTCCCGCAGAGGCATCGAAGTGTCTCGCAGGACCACGGCCCCTCTCCTCAAAGTCAGGGCCGGCACGGACACGCCGGGCACACTGGGCAGTGGACGGGGCTGCTGGTGCCTTCCTGCCACAGCGGGGGAAGGACAGACGGGGGCCGCCCAGGCCTGCGGTCCTCCGTGGATGGCAGTGCTCCCGGTGGCCCTGGGGCATCTGAGAGGAAGGCAGCACACAGTGCCGTGCGCCTCCACGCTGCACGTGGGAGGCACAGCCAGCAAGTGCTGGAGCCAGAACCCAAGGCTTCGTCTGACACGTGACCACAACAGGTTACACAGTGCGTCCGCACTGAACACTCCACAACAGCAACTGCTGTGCATACCAGGGATAATTTTACTGTGTTCTGTCTGAACTTCACCAACATTTTTCCTTATTCTAGAAAACCACATCACGAGACCACCGAGACGACGCTCCACTGTGGCCTTGGGCCCCCCTGCAGCCGTGCACGTGACACGGGTGTGCACGGCGCTGCCCCGGTGACTGCAACCTCTGCTGCAGCGCTGGCAGGCCCCGCAGGAGCTGCGCCGTGAGAGCACCAGGGTGCTGAGGCGCCCCTGCAGGTCAGGCTGGGGATGGGGCATCAGCAACTTCGCTACACAAATGGGGTGCTGGGTCCGAGGCAGCTGCTCTCAGGGCCGCACTACATTCTCAAACGTTACCCAGGACCCCAAAGGCTGTTATCTGGAATATTTCTACCAACACTCAGAGATTAAAATAGACACTGAAAAATAACGAACTAGTCACGTGTTTTAAAAAACACTATCGTTTTCAAAAAGAAAAGAGAAGAGAAGCCGGCGAGGGCCGGCCTTTGCCACCAGCGCGCTCTTGCGCCTGGCTCTGCCCCCCTCCCCCAAGCGGAGCACGACAGTCCAGCCACTCACAGCTGCGCAGGTGGAAAAGGGAGGGCGTTTTAATGGTTCCTTGGTACAACCGTGGACGCTGCTTTTTGATAACGCAGCCACACTCAGCAGTAGTGGTTTCTGAAGGTCACTTGCCACGTGGACTCAGGAGCCGCTCAGTCATCAGTGCCATCGAGCCCCACTCTCTCCTGGACTGTGAATGACCTGTCCCCCATGCAACTGGCTGGCATCTTGCACTCTTCATTTGGAAGTGGTGGATCTTTCCAGCATCCACACATTTCAGTGTAGGGTGTGAAAAACGATCACACCTGCGACTATCACCCTGCGCTCAACAGAAAAGTCCAAGAATCGGAAAACTATCAAGGTGATGGACACCAGCTTTTCAAAATTCAAATTCTTAGTTGAAAACGCATATTTGGTCACTGGCAACAAACACTACCAGCTGTTCTCACTCCTTCATGAGACAGCCTCCTCTTCTCTGTCTTGTCTGAGAAAACGCCTGCCCAACAGGCAGCTGTGAACCACCACAGCACAGCCGCCAGCCCTGCTCTCTAGTGACACTGGTCTCCAGCCTCAGCCCGGCCCCCTGCAGTGCCTTCCCAAGACACCCCACGGGGTCTGGGTGTGGCGAAGGGCCATGCGTGGACTTCCTGCTTCCTTCCTCGAGTTCGCTCAAGCAGACTGGCCTCTTTCCCTCCCTGGGTGAGGATGGAGCTGGAGTGATCAGTAAAGTCTGTGCAGCTGTGTGACCTGTGTCCAGGTGATAGTGTTTCCTCCACTGCCACACCTGCCACGTGGCTGCTAGCATCGGCAGTGCACAAGGCCAAGGGTGTCTTAACATGACTCTGAAACAGGCTTTGACCTCAGGGTGCCCCCTACCCCCCAGCCCCAACAGTCACATGCCAGAAACTGCCCTCCAGCGGTGTTTTTACCCCAAGGTTCTGTGGGGACCTCCAAGACCTCCTGCAGGAGTGAGTGAGCCCTGAATGGGATGCTGCCCGCACTGGGCTCTTCTCAGGCACAGGTCTGCAAGTTACTGTGACGAGCTCCGTAACCTATTTTTAATAATCAGCTTCGAGGTTATAATGTTTTTGCCAATAAGTAAGTGTGACCCCTTAGTGCACAGAACGCACCCACCGAAGCTGGAGACCCGACGTGGACTGCGGGCGTCACAGCAGGACTGTGCTGCCCCGAGACAGCAGAGGCGGATGGTGAGGGGGCCCACCTCACGCAGAGGAGATGCGGGCTGGACGCTTGGCTGCACTTCCACCCTGGCGCGTGGCGGCCAGGAAGACAAAGGGCCGGGAGAAGCGGCCACGGCCTGGGCCCCGAGGGCGAGGAGCTCGCAGCGACCTGCCTGTCATGCCCCAGCGTCTGCACACGGACCCCACGATGCTATAGCTGCTACAACTTCATCCAGCTCTGCTAAGCTTTGTCTCTGAGGGTCAGGGAACGAACATTTTCCTCCTTTGGGGTTCACAGTCACTGGATTCTCAACTGTCTGCGCAGGTGACACCGGCCGAGGCCCTCACAAACGAAGGGGCATCCGTTCCCTTTGAACTGTAATGGCAGGAGGCTGGTCTGGCTGACACCGTTTTAAGAGGCAGAACAATCTCTGATTATAGAAAAGAATCTAAAACACGTGCTTTGAAAACATCTCAAAAAAACCCAGGATATTTACAAATGTAAGCAGAACTCTTCTCTGGACTCTGAAACAAAGTAAGAACAGTCTAACCACCTCCCCACAAAGCTAATGCTGTAGCTTTCAGAATTCAGTCAATTGGAAATCATAAAAAGCCTACAGCCTGACACACAAAGGAGCACGGAGATGGAAAAGGTCCTGCACTGCTTTGAGTTTGGGGGTCCACAGGAGTAGGAGCCCACCTGCCGTGACTGAACAAAGGGCGAGGGTACCCCCTCGGGGAAAGCGGCACCCCCATTTCACAGAGGAGGAGAGCGAGGCTGGTCGGGGCAGACCCCGAGAGGAACTAGGAACCCCCCGCCCTGCCCCAGTGCAGCTGCTCAAACCGGCACACGTGTGTGCACGAGGGTTGGGCCTCCGGCACTGGGGCGGGGGCTCACAGCCGTTCTGCAGGTAAGAGGGGCTTTTTGTGACACTGGCTCCATCCTAACTTACTCCCAGGGACACCCACTGGACAGGTGACGTGGCCTGGGGTTCTCCCCTCTGCTGAGGCTGGACTGTGGAGCCCCTCCCCCTGAAACTCTGAAAAACGGTGCCAGGCCCCTGTCCTCACGTCACCAGGGGGACAGTCTCACTGTCGCACAGGTTAGAACACCGACCAAGAAAGGAGAAGCTCTCAGGCACCGTGGAGAAAAATGCAGGTGTAATGTCCAAAGGGTACTGACAGATTTTTGGAACATTTTCAAAAGGAAAGTGAAATAAAGGACTGTCAGAGAGTCTTAATGTGTTTTAGGCAATCATATATCAAAAATAGCAAAAAATTATTAACTGCAGAAAAGCCTATTGTCTCTTTGCTTCCCAGAAAATGATCTGAACTGCATCACTCACAGCAACTAAGCCCATGCGAGAAAACGCCCACCTGTCAGAAGTGACAGATGCGTGAAGAGTTCTCGTCTGAGGAGAGGGTCGAGGGCCGGCTTGGCACAAACCCCGGCACAGCAAGGGGGGCAGCGGGCACGGGCTGAGTGGAGGCAGGTGTGAAGGGAGCAGGCGAGCAAGGCCTGAGGATGCTGCCCGGGCCCCACACCAATGCCCCAGCCAGCAGCTGCAGGCAAGTAGAGACTCTATCAAAAACCAAAGCAAACCCAAAATAACAGGGTCAGGTGGAATCGACTCATTTGACACAAAGCAAAATGGAAAGCACTCACAACCTAGTTTTAGCCCCTCTCTTGTTTTAACCTTGACTTGACCTTGGGCAGATCCCTGATGACCAACAAAGGAAAAGCCGCCCCATGCAGGCCAGAGGCTCAGTCCCCCTGGCCCCAGCCTGCTGCTGTGGGGGAGGGGAGGGAAGGAGACAGGAGACCGGGAAGAGCACTTCGTGATCACATCTAACAAGGCCAGTCCTCTGGGTTTGCAACGGTCTACAGCTGAGATGCAGATCAGCAAATGATGGGAAGTGCTGCACGCCAGCAGGGAGCAAACAGGAACCCCGAGCTGGGGTTAACCCACCATGCCAAGGACCACCCCCTCAGACAGCAGCTGCCAGCACCAGAAGCCCCAGGGGGAGGGGTGCCGGCCGGGGCGGGGCCTCCACTACCTTGGGCGGCGCTTCGTCGGACCCGCCAGAGTCCCAGGACACCGCGACCTGCCGTCTGGACTCCATCCGCAGGCGCTCCTCGTGCTGCAGCTTCTCCTCCTCCAGGACCGCGCTAGAGAGACAACACATGGTTTCAGGGGCCACCGCCGGGGCAGCAGTACATGCCAGGCCCCCCAACCTCCGAGGGTGACAAAGGGACTCTTCATAAAAGGACAGGAGAGGAGCTGGGTCCAGGCAGCAGGCTGCAGCTCAGCCGCAGGGCAGAGGACAGCTGTGAGGCCCTCGGAAGTCCTGGGAGATCAGAAACATGCCCGGGCAGGTGTGTGCCCACGTGTGCTGGGAGCGGAGCCGCCCACGGCGCCCCACCCGGCACAGACGCATCCCGGGATAGACTCCTCCAGACTGAGCACTCAGAGGGGCGGGTCAGCCCTCTGGCTAACCACCTCCCTAAATCGCGTCTTTCTCCTTGCATCCTCCCTAGCACTCTTCACTCAAGACACAAGGAAATGCACAGCAAGCAGTACCCACTCTGTTTCTGGAAACCCCGGCTGCTCTTAGCAGCAGCGCCCTACTTACCGCCTCTCGACTACTCAGGGCTGCTGCACCCCACACTCCTCCGAGCCAGCTGGGCGGCGTCCTGGGCCTGGCTGTCGGCCGCCCAGAAACTGCCCCGAAGGCCGCCCAGCCAGCCTCTGCTCACTGCCCACAGCGCCCGGACCCCTGGGCTCAGCAGCGGCGGGGCCCAGACACTCGTCCCACCAGGGCAGCCTGCTCCTCCCCGCACGCCTGCAGTCTGAGCTCTGAGGAGGAAGCCTGTCCAGTGCCGAGCCTCCTGGCGGAACGCAGTGAATAACCACCCAGAATTACTCATGGGAGTGAGGTCAGCGGCAGCACCCGCTCTAATCTGGGAAATGTGCTCGGCTGTTTCTAGTAGACGTGCCTGCCTGAGCAGAGGCCAGCACGAGCGCCCCCACAGCCCAGCTCACACAGCCCCTGACCGGCCGGGCTGGGAGATGCAGGCACACTCACTTGGCGGCTGCCCTGAGCAGGCAAACCGGCACTGGAGATGGGGGCCTCTTTTTCTTTCAAAGGAAAGGGAACGTTTCTCATCTCAGTGAAAGATTCCACCTCTCCACAAAATAGGATTTTGATTTTCCTCGTGCTCCAGAGAGACAAGCGTGATGAGAGGCAACGCAGGACTTTTAATGACACGTAAGAATGCAGTGTGTCCCCCCACCTGCGGAGGGCAAGGCGCATGTGCTGCCAGCGGTCCCTGGGCCCGGGCCAACCGTGGCTCTTGTTGGGGTGCTTGGCAACGTCTGTTTGCTGGACGCCAGGCTGAGGCGGCAACTTGCCAGCCACCCTCACAGGCGGGGACAGCACAGCCCCCGGGCCCGAGTCTGCGCAACTTGCGATGGTGAGCTGAGGAGCACGCCACCATCGGCACGCAGGTCCCCTGCCCACAGCGCCAGCCTGTCCCCTCCAGAAGGACTGGGCCCCAATCAGGACTTCTGGGGCCCTCTCTCAATACCTGACCCCCAAAATAAATAACGGATCCTGAATCTGGATTTCCAGACAGCGCAGTTTAAAACAACTGAAAAGCCCACAAAAATCAAGGGGAAAAAATCAAGTGAAAAGCCCTCTTGTTCCCCTGCAAACGGTGAGCATGCCACATGTGGCACACTCAGGTGGCAGGGCCTCCTCTGTGAACAGGCTGCCTGGGGCCGACGGGGCCCTCCTGGGTTGTTCTGCGAAGGGGCCCACCCTGGCCTCGAGGTCACCGTGCCCCACAAAACCCTCCACAGAGGGCACGTGAGGGGCCGGGCCGCTGCTGGGCTTTCCCCTGGGCCCCAGTCCTGCACTGCTGCCCACCCCCCTCACCCATCCCCACCTGCGCAGACACTCGGCTTCCCTGCGACCCACCCTTGGCCCCACTGCTCGTCAGCCATGTGGCATCTGCTTGACAGTCACCTCAACATTTCCTCTACTGAACAGGCCAGTTGTGTGCCCCAAAAACGCAGTGATAACCAGGAAGCGAGTTCCTTCCATCTCAGCATACCATTATACCAAATATAACACAGCAAGATGCTTCCAGGAAACCGTAATTCATTGCTCAGAGTGACTGGGACTGTAAGGAACCCAGAGCCTGTGTGTTTTCACAACGGGAAGCCCACTGCACCGACGGAGTGAGGATGCACAGAGACCTTTCTGAACCGTTCTCTTTCCGCTGCTGAAGATCTCAGGGCAATGAGCTAGAATGTGCAGTGTCAAGGAGGTCAAATTTAAACATATTTTCCCAAACTACAATATTTTTAGCAGCAATGCATTCCATTCAAAGTGCTGGGTTGCCTAATGTGACCTGGCAAGGAGCCCTCCTGCTCTGCTTCTGAGTCTCAGACTCGCAAGCAGATGGAACAGCCAGCGCTAAGGGTCCTCACGAGCAAACACCAGAAGGCATGACAACCACGTCCTCGTGGACGCACGGGGCCTGTCCAGGGCGGGAATTGTGACGAGGAGAAGGGAGCACTCCATTTGCCGTTTCACGTCCCTAGCTTCCACAGAAGTCACCCGAGAAGTCAACTCAGAGTAAAAGGACACACAAAGCCCTAAGGCTGCTCTGACGTCCTCTCTCAGCCTGCGTGCAGTGCCCCCTGGGAACCCTGGCTCATGGCCTTGGCGTGTGTTCGGAGCTGCAGTGTTGAATTTCCGCTCCGGAGCAATGCAGTGCTATCCCACTTGTAAGGTGTTTTCACGGACAGCAAGACACTGGTCCCACAGGTCTCTCGTTCCCAGGACTGAGCTCGGACAGGAAAACGAGCCTCCAGCACAGGCGGAGGTCAGTGGGGAGGAGGGCCAGGAGGCTGAGGGAGGGTAGCGGCTGTGTGGTCCCAGGGGCAGGGCTGGGCGAGGGGCGTGGCCGCAGCAGTCTGGCCTGGCTCGCCTCGTGCCCCCACTGGCAGGGAGGATGCCGTCGTCCGGTGCTGGTTCGGATGGAGGAACAAAGCGTGTGAGGGGACGGAACACTGGAGCAAACGCAAGTGAGCGCTGTGCTCTCAACTGCCTTCCAGACGGCTAGAAAAATGAGGCTTCCTCCTGTCTCACTTCTGTAGCGATTTTCCCGAGAGTAACTATACTGCTATTCTTTTCTTTGAAACTAAAACACACTTCTTCTTTTAAATAGAACTTGCTTGGAAAAGTTTTTTGTAGAGATTGGACTCTGATACCTTCACCATAATTTTATGGTGACATCACAACATTTGCTTTGGACCTAAAGCTCAGTCTGGTCCATAGCTACTTGGGCTCATCTGGAAAACACCCAGAGAAACGCAGCAAGGAACTGGAAGGGCAAAAAGCCAAGAGGGAAAGAGCTTGTTTTGGCAAGTGCACGGGAATCTCGGTTTTGAAATGCGATCTCCCAGTCACCCAGCACTGCCTCACCACAAAGGAATGCAAGTGACCTTTCCGCAACAGCACAGACTGGGGTCTCTGCAGAGAATAGGGTGGCGGGGGCTTGAGTGAGGGGGCTTGGGGTATTTGGAACTGGTTGTCCAGTTTTCAGGGCCACAGCCACGCAACGGGGTGCACCCTGCCTCCTCCTGCGACCATCTGGCACAGCGGGCTGAGCCCTTAGTGTCACAAACCCGCCAAAACCACTTTCCCCTTTGCTTATGACTCATCTGAGACTGTAGAAAATAATGCACTTTATTAAAATTTTTTAGAAAGTGATTTCTAATAAACTCTTACTTCCAGATGGTGACTTCTTTGTATTTCTGAGAACTTCAAGTAGCTCCAGCATGACCACCTCCTGCACGCAGCAACCATGGGCCTAAGAAACAGTTCTGCGAGGGCCGGAGAGCCACCCACAGAAGCCCGAGTCTGGGGGTGCCGAGGCTAGAAGAAGGCAATAGCATAGGGAGGGGGCACGTCCTGACGGCCACCAGGCGGCAGCAGGCCCCAGTCTTGCTGGTTTGAAGAACCAGCACCTGCGTTTGAGTCACCACAAGTAGTGGGAAGTGACGGGGGACACTCAGGAACAAGAGAGCTGAGGACAGGATTCCTCCAATCCAAGTACAAATTCTGCCCAAATGACCAGATGACCCGCAGGCAGACACATAGAAGGCAGGTTCCAAGAAGCCCAGCTCAGGCAAACACAGCTGATTTGAGTTGTGATACTGCCCACCGCATGGAGAGAGAGTCTTCCGTATGAGGTCAGCCAAGGGCACTACCCGCTAAAATCAACCAGCCGGCCACCCGCTCTTCAGTGGAATATAACTGAATCCAGGCTCACAATGTTCAGGACGATCTAAAATTACTCAATTAAAAAAAATAATAAAAAGGCAGCATGTGACTCACACTCAAGAGGGAAAAAGTCTAAAGGAGGTGACTCCAAAGGTGACTCAGGAGTTGGAATTAGCAGGCGAGGACTTTAAAGAGTTGTTATACTTAAGAACATAAAGAAAAAATGGTTTGTAATTAATGAGAAGATAGAAAATGTCAGCAGCAAAACGGAAACTGTAAAGAGGAGACAAACACAAACTGCCACATCTGAGACTGAATGTCCACAGCGCAGGTGCAGACACAAGGCCCCCCACACTGTTCTATCGGCCCGGCACCTCGTTGCTACCCGGCGGCAGCACTGAGCGCTCACTCAACTGTCGAGGAAGAGTTACATCTACACGGTCCTGAAGTCACACTTGGCCCTCTGAAGGCAACCTCGAGGCTGCTGTGGTCGCCAGTGAAAATGAGTTGGACACCCCTGCTCTACGGGACTGAATGGCCGGCAGGGTGGAGATGACAGAAAAGCCAGGAAACTTGAAGATAATCCTTAAGGGCTCGCTCAAAAGGTTTAACATACAAGGAACTGAAATTTTAGAAAAGAGAAAATCGAGCAGGAAAAAATACCTGAACATACATATAGTGATCAAAACATGTCTACAGATTCAAGAGGTTCAGTAAACCTGCCCTGGTTGGTGTGGCTCAGTGGACTGAGCGCGGGCCTGAGAACCAAAGGGTCACTGGCTCAATTCCCAGTCAGGGCACAAGCCTGGGTTGCGGGCCAGGTCCCCAGTAGGGGGCGTGTGAGAGGCAATCACACATTGTGTCTCTCCCTCT